GTCCGGATGAGGAGCCTTTTCTGAATCGCTGGAATCCTGTCTGCTTTTGTGGTTAGTGTTCAGTTCTTGGATTATCATTATCATTATCGTTATCATTAATGTGGTGTGGTCACTTGTGTTCCATTCAGGATGGGTCTCTAGGGAATGACGCGTCAAGTAGTTTTGCATCCTCATCATTTGATGGAAGCTGTATTTGTGGTCGTGGTGTTATATTCTTTACCACATGTCGACATACTGGAGTTTGCATCTGTAGAAATTGGATGGGGTCTTCCGGTGCGGAAACATCCCTTGCTTGTTCCATAGTGAGAATTGTTTTATTTGAAGTAAGTTCATTCATATTGCGATTCAATCCTTAGAGTGTAATACTGCCCCGGTCAATTGAACAATGTGCACTCGAGTTTTATTCTCTGCTCCAAGAGGAGTATACAACCCAAGGTGTCGCATGAGGCGCGATAAGGTCACAACACCATCTCACTCTGTCGGGTACCCATTCACTACTTGGTGAACAGAGCCCTATTTCGAACAAGGGCTCTAGCCTAAGGAGACACCACGTGAAACATGTGTGTCAGTGTGTGGGAGTTAACCCTATAGCGCCTAACAGGCAGCTTGGGTTGTATACTCCCCAGGGAGCTGAGAATGGGTCTTGAGTGCACAATGATTCAGTGACCGGGGTAATAATAGCGTGTTAAGCATGCCCCTGAGTGTCGTGGAAGTATGCGCAATGTAAATAGCCTATTATTATTACAGTCGCCCATCCAACTACTCTCCGCCACCAACGTTGCTTACGTGACCTAATGTGTGACGTGTGGGCGGTACGTGTGTGCCACCACTGCATCCACAAGTATTCAAATGGGGATTCGATGGTCAGAAGGGAGACCCACCAGAAAAACCCGATAGATATTGATTCATAGTACCAAGCGTCGTTTAAATCTTGCTCATATTATCGACCACTAGTTTATCTGGTGCAGGTTTGAATTGGCTATGTTGATGTGATTTCTCACTGTATAAAATGATTTTACCATTTTATTAACCAAACTACATTTTCATCTCCATGACTTCACCCTGTGTGGGTTAGGGATTGGAATAAGTCCCCATGTACCTATGCTTATCGTAGAAGCTGACAACAATGACGTCACAATATGTGACGTCACTAGTTGCGTGTCACCTTACCCTGATGAAGTAGAACGTTGCTCGAGTTATCAATCACCAGTTTGCCAGGCAAGGACGCGAATATTACAAATTATTTACAGGACGCAGTGATGAAGCGGCGTAAAACAATATCTATTCATGTCAATCTGTGGTCAAAGTAAGGTGCGGTGTTATGCATGGACTGTAAGCGATGCAGAGCGCCCAGTGGTACATTCCTGCGTGGGCGCTGCAGAGGGCGGAGAACCTGAAGGCCGAGGTGGTCATGTGAAAGCGGACCTGTTTGAGTTATGCCTTTGATATCATTCAAGTGTACACATTAATTAATAATAGCAGCAGCAGTAGTAGTAGTAGTTCATGGTAGTAGTAGTAGTAGTAGTAGTAGTAGTAGTAGTAGTAGTAGTGGTAGTAGTAGTAGTAGTAGTAGTAGAAGGTGCAGCAGCAGCGTTAGAAACTGCATGGCACTTTTTTAGTCCTATAGTCCTTGCCAAACTGCCAAAAATAGTTAAGGTATCATAAGGACTAGTACAGATTTGCCCTTTTTAAGGGTTTCGCTCTATGTTGTCATTATAAGGACTTAGTGGACTACATATGTTACATTATATCGCAGAGTAGTAGTAGTAGTAGTAGTAGTAGTAGTAGTAGTAGTAGTAGCATGGACCCAAAATATAGAGTATTAAGTGTCCATGGTAGGAGTAGTAGTAGTGTGAGTGAGTGAGTGAGTTGGGTTTAACGCCGCTTTTAACAATATTCCAGTTATATCGCGGCGTGTCAGCTTAATACCACTTCGGCGTTTACCACTTCAGTGAAACCTACGAGCACCCCGGTCGTGTGTGTGTGTGTGTGTGTGTGTGTGTGTGTGTGTGTGTGTGTGGCTGCTTGTACTAGTCCGGACTGATGCCGATTTATAGTGCTAGCCCACTGTGATACCATGCCGCAGTTTAACATGAATACCCCACTCAGACACAGTATACTGACTCCGAGCCGACCAGTCCTTGTTTTAGCCCCTTAATGCCGAGCACCAGACAGGGTAACAACAAGTCCCATCTTTAAACGTCTTTTGGTATGACGCGGCTGGGGATCGAACCCCGGACCTTCCGCTCTCCGGGCGGACGCTCTACCATTAGACCACGGAGGCGGTCCCCCGGCATTGATATTGATGGAATGTTTCTGAAAGCGGCGTAAAACTATACTCAGTCACAACACTATATTACTGCGTGCAACGTCGCCCTCTCGTCAGGGCGTGCCGCAGGAACTTGTAGTTGGGCACGCTGGCATAACCTCTGTTTCCAATTACAGTTAATTCAAGCATATGTTACGAACGCGTGACTAACCAACGACCTTTAACAATCACGTGACACCAAAACATTCCGAGATGAACATTGGTCTGGTGTTGCATCCAGACAGCATGATTGACATATGCAGATGAAGCATTGCATCATTAGTTTACCACTGCTATATACTTATGTTCTAGTTATATCATCACAGGTGTTTATCTATTTGACTTAGATCAGCGCATGGAATTATATCTGACATATAAAATTCGAGACATTTGCATAAAGAGCAACATCAACCACAATCTTTCCATATTTTGTATTGATTTGATTTTTTTGTAAAATATTAAATACGCCGGTCTTTGGCTAGAGCTGATTTTCATAACTGTGTAAGCTTACAGACAGTTAAAGATCACGGATTTTACTCAATCCTTTTAGCTATTCTTCTCAATACGATCATGTCTCAATACGACCATGTCATAATATTGTAACCCGTGAAGATCCGGGGTAGAATAGGTCTTCAGCAACCCGTTTGCCGTAAAAGGCGACTATGCTTGTCGAAAGAGGCGACTAACGGGATCGGGTGGTCAGGCTCGCTGACTTGGTTGATGCATGTCATCGTATCCCAGTTGTCTGGACCGATGCTCATGATATCAATCACTGGATTGTCTGGTCCAGACTCGATTATTTACATACCGCCGTCATATAGCTGGAATATTGTTGAGTGCGGCGTTAAACAACAAACAAACAATCCAATATTCCAGCAATACGACACAAAATGAGCTTTACACTTTGTACCTATGTGGGAAGTCGAACAAGGGTCTTTGACTTGACGAGCAAACGCTTTTATCCATCAGGCGACCCCACCGCCCCTTTAGATTTTGAAACACAGAAATTTAGTTTCTATTCTAAAACTGCTTTTAAATGTGTAGTCTGTCGTCTCACATCCGTCCGTCTGTAGACAGGTTGTTCATTACCGACACGCGTCTGATTATGACGACCTGTTTGTGATTCAGGAAGCCGTAGAAATAGTTCCTTGTACGTTTCATAAAACCGTTAGACCGGGCGGATAACTGACACTACAGGCTGCATTAGGATTGTATTCACGTTGAAGGTAACGTATCTTTAATTTTGTGTCATATCGTTTTTTAACTGTCTGTGGGTGAATGTGTCGCACGGCAACCATGCTTGAAAGAGAGGTGAGGTGAGGTGAAATAGGGTTTACGTCGCGTCGAAGATTATTGCACTTATATAGTGACGTGCATGTACGTGTGTGTGTGTGTGTGGCTCCTTGTACTAGGCCGGACTGATGCCGATATATAGTGCTAGCTCACTGAGATACCATGCCGCAGTTTAACATGAATACCCCACTCAGACACAGTTTACTGACTCCGAGCCGACCAGTCCTTGTTTTAGCCCCTAATGCCGAGCGCCAGACAGGGTAACAACAAGTACCATCTTTTAACGTTTTTTTGTATGACGCGGCCGGGGATCGAACCCCGGACATTCCGCTCTCCGGGCGGACGCTCTACCACTAGACCACGGAGGCGGTCTTGAAAGAGAGGCCTCAGATGAGGATGTTCCTGCAGCTGGAGCCCTTCACAATGATGTTTGTTTGTTTGTTGTTGTTTAACGCCGCACTCAGTAATATTTCAGCTATATGACGGCGGTATGTAAATAATCGAGTCCACGTAATTGGGATCGATAAATGCATCAACCACCCGATCCCGTTAGTCGCCTTTAACGACAAGCATAGTCGCCTTTTACGGCAAGCATGGGTTGCTGAAGACCTATTCTACCCCGGATCTTCACCGTCGCTGACTTCGGTGATGCATCGTATCCCAGTTGCGTGGATCGATGCTCATGGTGTCAATCACTGGATTGTCTGGTCCAGACTCGGTTATTTACAGACCACCGTCATATAACTGGAATATTGCTGAGTGCGGCGTTAAACAACAAACATAAAGGATGTTCACTCACTCACTCACTCACTCGTATGTTTAGTTATTTCCCGTATACGTCCGTACGCCCACAACAAATCACCTATATCTTGTCAAAATATACCGGAAGAGCGAATAAATTGTTTTTCAAATAATCCTTCCAAACAGCAATCAATTTGTGACCAAAAGATATTGTGAAAGGATCATATTATACAGAGAGGGGGGCATCTCAGAAGCATTCTATGAATTAACAGCCTCAACGCACAGGTAGCGGAAGTTTATATATTCCAAAGAACGTCCCATGTGATAATACCTCTGTGTAGTCATGCCATATCCTCTTTAAGGGCCAAAGTGTTTTCAATAGGGGCCCTTATCGAATTTATTCAATAAAGTGTATTCTTAATTGTACATGATGAAATAATTCCTTATTCAAGCCCAAACAGTCCTATCACCATGCAATATTTTTCTGCCTCAATGTTTAGGGCCCAAACGTTAAGTGTGTTAGCCCTGACTCTGTATATATCAAATTAACATGTCTCCTTCATAATTTGTTAGTTTGTTTGACTTCATTCTCCAGCAGTTTACTTTATCTTCCTCCGGTGTACAAATACATACAGGAACATTCTTCGCTCAATTTCAGCAGGTGCCCGATAGAGCCCTCCCAGGATTAATCAGGAAACAAGACAGGCTGAGATTAAACTGCAGGGAAATTCCGTGTTAACAGACCCAAATATCATCCCGTGTATCTCACGCCGTGCAATATAGCGCAGTAATCAACACTGGTGACGAAATATCGAGAATATGTGCATTTAACGCACGCGTGCTCCATCACAACTACAGAGGAAGGGTGAAGATCGGAGGCAGCGTTTCGGTAGGTATTACCTATACATGTGGCGGGAGGGACTGATACTCTATACGCCTGCATACCCCCGCGAGACTACAACACTGCTTCACTGTCGTGTCAAGGCTGATGGTAGGATGGATGTGTGCGGGTTGGACTCCACTTTCGAGAGTTTTGTGAACATGTCCTGTTGACTGTTGAGTCTGGGTAGATTTGTGTAACACGAACAGGTTATTTTCGAGATCATGCCTGGCAAGAGGAGCAGGAAGGCTCGGGCGAAAAGGGCGGGAAAACGGAACAGTTCGTCCGAGGAGAGTCGCCGGAAATCGTCTGCTAGTGCAGATGGTGAGTTGACAGAATCACTTGGCGCTACGGGAGGGACGCCAACGGATGGCGAATCCTCGGAATCTGTAAGTCCAGATAAGTGTGAGGATGAATTTGATTTTAGCTCTGGATTAGAAGCTGGAGCTGACGATCAAACGGCGAAGGATATGGGGAATGAACAAGGTAAAAGTTTACTTCTGTGTCAGGTTGACCTGGATGTTAAAGCAGGTTCTAGTTCAGTGGGCGAACAGGCCCAACTGTCAGTCAAAGCAGTTCCGTGTGGTTATTCTGATGATGTCACCAAGGTACAACTTACTCAACACCGTGATTCAAATGGAAATAATTCACCCACAAGCTGTAAATACCAAGACGACGGAGACACAACGTCAACAAAATCAACTCAAATCTGCAAAGCGCCACCTCCAGTTGGCCAACAAGGACGAAGTCAATGTGTACCTCTGTCATCACCACTTGACAACAATGAGGAGACAACTCACTCTGAACAATCATCCTCTTTTGACAGATCCTGCGAGGAAAGACCCACGAATGAAGATGAACTTGGAACCAGTGTGGATCCAGTTTCATTCCAACCCTGTATTATCCAGAAGGAACTATATACACAAATAGAGGAGGTAGAATTAAAAACTTTACCCACTGAAGGTGAAGCTCACGTGTGTCTTGAAGCTTCGCCGGTCATGAAATTTAATGACTCGGTTTCAGAATCCGATAGGAAAGTTGACTCTGGTTTGAATACAGGTTCACAGTCACGGATACAGGAGTCATCAGAAAAATGTGTTCAAACATGTAATTATAGCAAAGACGAATCTAATTTTGCGAACATTATACCAAAGGATATTAGTTTAGAGTCATCAAGGATTGGACCGCCTTCAGTGTCTGAAAGTGTTGGTTCGAGTGTTGACGTTGTCTCAAAGGTTAATGTTGTAGAAGGAGGGGGTGTCACGGCAGCATCTGACAACGCTGTTACTGCACCTGGTCAAGGATGTGCTACAAGCGAGGTTGAGAGTCGTGTCCCCTGTAACGTTCCAGCAGAGACAACAGGTGCGATGAAGAAACATCAAGCATCTCCTGTCGGCGAGGGTGTTCACAGCGACGTCCCGGTCGCGTGTGAGGGAGAGGAGGTTGTTCCAGTTGTTGTCAACACCGATGATCCAGTGTCCAACGAAGACCACCCCCTGTGTGTTGTTGACGGCATATATGAAGCTGGTGACGTGCCTGATGATGATGCAGCCGGGGGAAACTCTACAGAACGTGGTTCTCCAACAGAGGACAATTGTCCACCTTCGGGCCGAGATACATGTGCAGAAGTTACAACTAATTCTTTGTTGGACAATGTATGTCCCTCTGGCCACGCAATTCAACAGGACGACACAGATTGTGGTTATTCATCAACAGGAAAGGATACATGTGCAGGACTTACAGATCTGTCTTCTTCTGATACTAAAGGTCCCTCTGACGAAGCAGTTCAGCAGGATGACACAACGCCAGATACCAAAGATCCAAAAAAAGCCTTACACATTGAAACGTCCCATGATGTCGTGGACACAGACGCGTGTCTGTCTGCTGGTATACACGACACAGACTCAGACTTGAATGACGAGCAGCTGGACATTGTCACGACGTATATTGACTTCCTGTTTGAACCATGCTTCTCGCCGAGCCTAACCGGAAGTGAGACCGGTGACCCTGATGAACCTGAAGGTCGGAGCATGGTAGAAAGAGGTGGCCTTGACACCATTCACCAAACTGACACGTCAACATGTGGAGACTCCACGGCCTCGGGGGGTGTACAGGAGGAAGGACAGGCTGCAAGTATTGCGTTTTACCTTGACAATGTATTTGAGAAGACCACCGAAGCGTCTTCCAAATCAGTCACAGAAGCATTGGAAGATATGCATGAGTGTGCCTCTGACCTTGATCCTAACCTTGACCTTAACCTTGACCCTATACTGGTTGACCAACAGACGGCTGAACTTTTATCTATGCCAGCTAAAAACGTAATTAATCCATTCGATATCCAAAACTTTCAACAAATGTCACCCCGACTGGAAACTATCAAGGAAACACAGTATGAAAAGGAATCTAACTCTAAAGAACAAACAGAACTCGATGTGGAATCACAAGATTCGACTTCAAGCAGGAACCTCCCTGACGTCGTGTCTAGTTCAACATCTGTGTGTGTTGCTGACCCCGTGTATGTGGCCGCTGACGACGCGTGTCACGTGGGTTCCCTTGGATTACCCGTAGCTGCTGACGTCCAGTGGAGGGCCAGCCTTATTTACATCAGTCGAGTGTGCACAATGTACAAGCTGCTGGAGGCGCTCTACAACGCCATGTGTGTGACCTTGAGGACAGGGAGGCGACGGAAAGGTCAGGATCCGACCTCCAGGGTCATCCTACAGTGCGAGGGGTCAAGGTTGACAGGAGCAGGTAAGTGTTTTTTACTGGTCGTTTTATTTTGTGAGGGTTAACAGAGCCTCGTTTTGACCAACAGTGATGTTTGTTCTCTGCTACTATCATATTCCCACAATGTTTATCTTCTGTTATTCAGGACATTCAAAACATTTTATTTTGTCGCTACAAAAGTCAGAATGATTGTTTCAATATTTTTTGTTGCAACACATACAATCCCCTCGGTTGTAATGCCACCTTTCGTCGAGCGGAAGAATTGTCATTATAACCAGGGAGGTGAAAACTCGACCTTACTGACATGGTAGGTAGAAGATTAAAGAAGAACCAAGACATCCAAGCTATTTATTTTCAAACATGACAGCCCCATAAACATTGCCAACCCTTGGATCACGTATGGACAATTTTTATTCAGAAGGTTAAAAAAAAGTCTAAGAAATAGGTCAGTGTGTCAATTAAGTAAGAGCACTGTTCTAAAGCCCTAGTTTAGGGACTGACTTGTTCCTCAAGACTGTAGTCGGAATCGCCTATAGTTTCTTCTATAGAGAAGAAGAGTCAAAGGTTCATAGTTACCTGCATTATCTAAATCATCTTAAAAATACAAACTCGGTGAACAAGTGCAAATTATATTTCTTCATCGACAGGTAGAAATCATGAACCGTAAGTTTAGATCATAATAAAACAAACATAAAAAGCTCGCTCAAAGAGGGGAATGGCGGTAAGTATTTTTTAGAACGTAGGCCATCGGCCCAAATTAACGCCACATGATCGGTCAAACAGTGAACAACACACACGAGGTGTACAGAACAAATATAAGAAAAACAGTAAATAGTTTGGCTATATCCCAAGATTATTGGTATGATAAATGTCCATAGCAAGGTTTGTAAAATACTTTACATTAGCTGAAGACATAAGAGAATTAAATTTACCCAGTGTTGGATGAATAACAAATTTTCACAACAATGTTCTCGTAACGCACTGTCTTTAGAAGAAATCAATATAATTTCTCAATTCGAAATTTACACGACATACGGCTTTTCCATTGGACGAGAGGCCGGTCACATGACAACGAAACTGACGGTAAGCCTATGAAAGACACAATGTGACGTTCTTACGTTTTTCACAAGACTGTATTCTTGAAATGACGTAAACACTGACGGACTGCTTCCACATTCCTGGAGAAAACGAATACGTACAGTATCGTTGTTTCTGATATATTAGACCCTTTAATCTTGAGTGAGTGAGTGAGTCTGATTTTACGCCGCTTTTAGCAATATTCCAGCTATATCACGGCGGGGTACACAAGAATGGGGATCGAACCCGGGTCTTCGGCGTGACGAGCGAACGCTTTAACCACTAGGCTACCCGACCGCCCCCTTTAATCTTGAACTCCGCATTTAGCATACAGTGAGAAACATGATCGTTCACGAATATCCTCGCTACTACCCACATTTGTGAACAAAACGTAGAAATGCACATCCACTATTGCTATCTAAGTATCGACGCGATCCGTGTCTAGGCTGACAGTTAGTCTACACCAAACTATGAATTTCCCTTAGTGTCTAATTAACACATCTTTAATCACCTTTCAATGAGGTGAGGTGAGGTGAAATTGGGTTTAACGTCGCGTCCAAGATTATTGCACTTATATAGCGACCCTTTCAATGAACGTCCAACTGATCAGTGATAACTATAACATGTAACCGCCACAGGTTTATAAACAACTTCCTAAATCTCTCCCGTCACGTTTATCGTGTCGACCATTTTGACGTCTTGAACTTGATGTAAATGTATTACGACGCGCTGACGACGTGACTGACTTACTGATGTATTTCTTAACAGCCCTTTCTCATCTGACAGTGATATTATCTGAATACATGTGTAGTTTCAGATGTTTCTGAAGAGCAAGTTGTGTATACAGACGCTCATGTCACCTCTCTTTTTGAGGAACTATTTTCTTCCGCTATACAGCTGTTTGTTGTATGGCTGTCAGTGTAAACATGAAGTCACACGTACATCTATTAGATAAAATTATGTATAAATCTAGGCCTACATCCTTTGAGGTAAACATTTGTGATACAAAATTATAGCATCATGTTTATGTCAGATTGCCCCAATTTAGGTTTGAGAATAGCTACAAAACACATGTGTAAATATCGAAAGGTGATCACACTCGGTGTTTGTTTTGAATGATGTATCGACAACTCGGGCACAGGAGGAGCGCTCGTTAATGCAGACCCCATCGGTTTCAGACTCGGATTGCAATACTACATTCTTAGATGGTTTATATGATATCTAGTGTCTGTATATTTTCTTATTCGTTTAATGGAGTGGTATTTTGTGCGCTGTGGTGTGCGGGGTCGCCTATCAATAAACACCAGTAGGATATAATATGTGATATACACTTCACATACCTTCACATGTTCTTGGAACGCATGTATTTATAAGCCCCCGCGTTGTTTAGTTCCTGGGCATAAGTAAAGATACTTTGTGTTCGTTTTTAGCCCATGGGCTTTAATTACGAAATCAATTTCGAGTGAGTGAGTTATAAACACATTGGTCTCCTCAATTGTACATTTCATGATGTTTGGGTGTTTATGGCGCTTTAATGTGTTATTGTACTTTTGACTTTGAAAAGATTTGATTCATTAATATTGAATGAATTGAGGTTTCCTTATGTAAACACAGGGATAGGTGCACCCGTCCTCCCATCCAGCTTTGAAATACGATACCGGCTTTGAGAGAGCGTTGCTTTAAAAGTATCTTAACCGGGTATGCACGGGTTTTGTGATGCTTTACACTTTCAAGGAGTATATACGGTTCATATAAACTTAGATATCCTTCATACTGTGTTGAGACACACGCTTATCATCTAAAATTAATCCACATTAAAACAAGGATATGGATATGGTATATTTTCTCCCAAGCATTCTCAAGGTTCAATCTTCGATATATCAGTCGTTCAACAGCCATATTCCAGCTAAGTGACAGCGACCAATAAATAAGCGAGTGTGAACCAGACAATCCAGTGATTGATATGATTAGTATCGATCCACCCCGGGTACTAGAGCACAAGGCATCGAGCTGACAACCCAGTCTACTGACTCAGCTTCACGACCAGCAACCCGTGGAGAACCGGGGTAGAATAGGTCTTCAGCAACCCATGCTTGCCGTAAAAGGCGACTATGCTTGTCGTAAAATGCGACTAACGGGATCGGGTGGTCAGGCTCGCTGACTTGGTTGATGCATGTCATCGTATCCCAATTGCGTGGATCGATGCTCATGATATTAATCACTGGATTGTCCGGTCCAGACTCGATTATTTACAGACCGCAGTCATATAGCTGGAATATTTCTGAGGGCGGCGATAAACAACAAACAAACAAACAAACAAACAAACAAACAAATCAAGACCAGCATAGACAGCTGCATTGTGGTCGACTCTAACCCGGAATCCCAAAAAGGGGTAAATGTAGACGAGTGTTTGGGAACGGCTTTCCTCTGCCGTTAGCACAATTCCAGCAAGATTAACGCTGGGCGCCAACAACGCTCATAACTTACACACACTGTACCCTTGGGTGAAGACTTCAGCCACAAGATCGCCCCACCCTCTATAACTTGAAACGAGCTAGAAATGACAGAATACGATGGAACTGGTTGCGGTGTAATTTGTGCATCTCGTGTACGCCCGGCATGTGGCCCTCGGGGATGCGGATATGTAGATGCGTCTATATAAGTAATTCTGTTACTTCTGCTGCTGAAACATGTGTTTTCACTTCCCATGATCCACCAGGCATAAACACATCCCCCTTCTCCCCATATGCACATGCTTGTGTGTATTCCAGTCACCGATACCTTCCACTACGGCGCCCACGGCAGACTTAGTGGGAAGTCAGCGGGACAAGAATATATTGCTAATAGAAGATTAGAAGTTCAATGAAGCGCTCTCGTCAGTCCAAACGGATATATCTACCGACAGTTACATATCTTTACAACATTTTTATTAATCAGCTTGGTTACACAGTGATCTAAGAGCGAAGTGTAGTTAATATAATATTATATTGCATTTTATGTTCTTTTAATGTAACTATTACAATCACCTTGAAGTAGAGTTGCGCCCCTTTGATGTGCCAGGATTCACGACACGGTACTTCAATGCACCGCTCCCCAAAAGGATTTCATGTAGTTGGCACTGTAAGACAGATACATGCTGTATCAGAGGGAAGAGAGTTTCTGTAACGGTTTGAATATACCTTTGCAGCAGCTCATTTCGTACCTGTCGCGTTGCATTAGGTAGACATGGCGAGTAGCTCCGGAAGACGGAATGTGTTGAAAGTTATAAGAAGATAGTTTCGTTTGAAGAATATTGATTCAATTTCCGAACTCATTCCGCATATGTCGGTTTGAATTAATGTAGAATATAGTGATGAATACAAGCACCTTCCACTTCTTCACAAGGTTTATTCGTGCAGCTGTGTGTGTGTGTGTGTGTGTGTGTGTGTGTGTGTGTGTGTGTGTGTGTGTGTAACGCCGCTTTTAACAGTATTCCAGTTATATCGCAGCGTGTCAGCTTAATGTGGGAGGAAAGCCCGAAGTGATGCAGGTCTCAGACGTTTACCACTTCGTTGAAACCCACGAGCACGGGTATGGTGCTGACAAACCTAGAAACATAATCGGGGCGAACCGGGATTCGAACCCACAATCATAGGCTTCTGGCGTGTCCAAGGGACGCAACTCTGCACAGCGAATCGCGGCGCCTTAGACGACTGGGCAACCCGTGCCCCCCCCCCCCCCCCCCCCCCCCCCCCCCCCCATGCAGCTGTAGGCTCGGTGAGGTTGCCTTGTGGTGAACGCGTTCACGTGTCATGCCGAAGGCCCGGGTTCGAATCCCGGGTATAATATGATGCTGTTACATGTTTTGCTGGAAGTCACCAAACTCGATCTTAAACTAAGCTTCCGTGCAAAAGAGTAAGCGAGGAAGTTTAACGTCGCATCGGCATTATTTCAGCCATATAGCGACT